AACTGCTATAAATATCTTCGCTCATAGGATGATGTCAGTCTACAACTCTGCAAGTGACATGCATTCCTTCAAGTTTTGCTAAACCATTAATGTTTTATGTTTTGCAGAATGTTTGCACATTTTCTAATGCTTGACTTATCAGATCCTTCATGACTTGAAGCCCTTGTTTCTTTTCAAAGCAGCACCAAAGAATGTAAATACTTTAAAACTTTCTTTTTGGGAAGTATTTTTATTAAACACACACTGACTCATGTCTGAAACTTTCCTGGCGCACCAGGGGGTGCACACTACTGATCAAATATTGAAAGTTACGTTCATTTGTTGTGCACTTTGGTTAAGTTTGCAAAAATCTTAAACTTTGCTGGTTCGTTTATTGCCTCACGACCCCTCACTTGCTGTTTCACAGTGGGAACCCAAATCAGCCAGACGTCTAAATGCCCAAAGATTCAGCAGACAACATCTAAATGCTTCTGCGTCACGCTTTGTGTAGTAAATAAAACTCTAGTAGGGGGTTTTGTTTGTGCACGTCCTGCATTCACACAATTAGCACCAAGTGTTCCTCCTGAGCCTCCGCTCGATGAGCTGCAAATGCAAAACTCTGCGAGATCAAAGCTAATACAACCCCGCTAATTCAACTTCAGTTCTGAGAAAGGTCTTCAGATTAGGTGTGAGGTTTTGAAGCAAATGCTGTTTTGACGCCACGTTTCATTTATTTTCAGCTCCATCGCCCTAATTGGCCCCAAAGGTGAGGAAGAAAGTGGATGGGATGGGGAGCACAGAGCCCGGGCAGGAGATCCACACGCATGTACGCTAATGGAACAGTCTGGAGGTACACTGACGTTTTGGAACCAAGTTTCAATCAAATTGGTGATAAATTAAGGAGAGATTGGACTCAGTACCTCAAATTTTATTGACACTAATTGGATGACTTTAACTCCTTTTACTGACAAAGTATTTCCAGACGGAGCTTGAGTCATACAAACACCATCAGTAAAACTTATTTCATACTGTCTAGACATCAGCAGGAGGAATTATGATGAGAACAAAAGTCCTGAGGGGTCGACGATATAACGTTATTCCTGTTGCTAATTATTTTTTTGATGCATTGTACAAAAATATCACATAAAGTGAAGACTGGAAATTAAAAGAAATGTAATTTTAATTTATGTTAATCGTCACTGACAAACAAAATGTTCTGGTCTCAATAATTTCCCCCTTATTTAGATAAATACATGCTATTTTATGACATTCTTTGAAAGAATGCTTATCACCTGCCACATTTCATGCTAATATTTCAAAATAAAATCCTGCAACGTTGAGAGCTGACAAATTTTGGTCAAACTTTGAAAATAATATCAGACTCAATTTAATGCATCATTGTCAGATCTTGCTGACCTGGTTTTGCACAATATTAAAAAAAAAACACTGAGCTGTAGATATATTTGTGTAGACTGAATTTGCTTTGCTGTGGCGGCCATTTTGGGTTCTATTGATTCCAAAAACTTAATCAGTTGAACACGTTGATTAAATTCTGAGCATTTTAATACAATGGTTCTGTGATTATTAGGCTTTTTTTTATTTCCGAGGAAGGAGATAAATATTTCCACGATTTATTGTATTCACCCTTAAATCTGTTGTTTGAGAAATTATCTTTATGGGTTCTGAATAAACCCTGCACCAGTGAGATCACAGCTCATAAGATTTTACTGGATTCTTACCTCTAACCCGTGGTAAGAAGTTAGAACTGATTTCATAATCTTGTACTGCTCTCATCTTATCTACGTCTGAGCTGTGACCTCACTGGAGCAGGGTTTATTCAGAACCCATATAGATAATTTATCATCCGTTTCTGTGGTAACTAACCAGTAGTCCCCTAATAAGGCTTGGCTGTGTGTTCTCCAGTAAGTACCGGTTAACTACCCATTAGTTCTTGATTAGTTCCTCTTTATTTACAAGGTAACTAACCAGTAGTCCCCTAATAAGGCTTGGCTGTGTGTTCTCCAGTAAGTACTGGTTAACTACCCATTAGTTCTTGATTAGTTCATCTTTATTTACAAAGTAACTAACCAGTAGTCCCCTAATAAGGCTTGGCTGTGTGTTTCCCAGTAAGTACTGGTTAACTACCATTAGCTCCTGGTTTGTTCCTGAGATGTTCCCTAGTAGTTAATCAAATTGTGTGCACCTTATGGTAAAGTGTTACCAAATTCTGATGTAAAAATATCTTATTTTTTATTTTATTATAATCTTTATCATATTTCAACATCAGATAAGTTCTTCAGACAAACTAGACTGAGCTAAAGTTCTGAAAATCCTCCTCTGAACAGACTGGACTAACCTGTGTTGATATATTTATCTATAAATGATGCTGAAAACTGTTGGTGAGGAAGATAAGAGCAGCTCTCAGCTGGAAGACGGAGCAGTAAGAGCCGGGACTTTGTTTCTGATTTGACACTGATGGATCGCCTGGGTCTGGATGGACCCGTGTACGGACAGCCCTGACGTTTTTAAAATCCGAAGCGTTACAGGGAGACGAGAGCAAATACAACAAACCAGCATCCTCTCCCATTGGTGGGAGAATCACTTGGGCTTCCTGAGTGATGCAATACGATTGGTTTCTTTGAAGAGTGCATCAAATCTGAGATTTCTTTGTTTTTGCTGTTTGTGTGATGAAACATATTCTTTCAGCCTCACAAAACTCCAACATTAGCGTTATTGTTATACAGGTGATGCTTTATTCAACAAAGAGTTTTCAGAGCAGTAAGCACATTAAGTTTAACCTTCAAAAGACACCTATAATCCTCCAGTTGACCTTAAAGTCACCGTGAAATAAAAACATTTACTAATTTTCCACAGTGAAGTTTAATCCTTTTTAAGAACGCCCCCCTCAAAATATAAGCCCCATTTGAATTTTCCTAACGTCAAAAACACACAACCTCATTTTCAGATCTTTGATTGACCCATCGCTGCAGCAACACCACACCAAGACTTTACTTGAGCAAGAGCCAAACAAATTAACGAGGCAAACCCTCCCAGTCCAAATGTTTCCTGAGAATTAAAGATTTGCAACAAAAATTTGCTTTCACATCAAAAAATTCTCAAATTCAATTGAACCTTTGCCACCTTGGCTTGTAATAAAATTTTTAAGTGAATATTTTCCCAGTTTCACCCCCCAGTTTAAACATGTGGTGACAGTCTGAAGATGGAGTCGAAGGAGGCTGCTCTGTTAAAAAAAACAACTCCTGCCTCCTCACCATGGCCTCCTATTCATGCAGCTGGAAAGTCTCCCTCGTGCTGTCAGTGGAAACATAAGGGATGACCGTGGCTGCTTCAGAACATATTCAGAAAAAGAAAATGAAAAGGCAGTTGCTGTGGATGTCGAGGCTGCACTGAGTGATTTTTGCAGAGGAGAATAAACCGAGCTGGAGAGCACATGTGAGAAACGACTCCTGTTTTAATCCCCTGAATCTCATGGCAGAGCCACTGTTTACATCTTCCTTGGGATATCTTTTAAGGGTATTAAAAAGGATGCAGGTTTTTCTCTTGATGGCACAGCTACAAACTAAAATAACATGGCTTTGAAACCTTTCACATTTAGAAATAGATTTGTTGGTTGATTAGAAATAAAGCTTAACAACATCCCATTGAGATTTATTCAGTTTGTTTTGTCCTTTTCTGAGTTTTGTTCTCATGAAACTTTAAAATATTGTTTGTGCTTGAAAAGACCGAACTGAGTGAGAAATGGAGAATGTGGAAAATAAAGGCGAAAGCTCAGAGAAGAATGCTTCCCTTTAGAGGAGCAGACAGCCAACATCCATCGTTTTGCTGCTGATTGACCCTTCATGCACTTAAATTACGTGCTCATGTACTTAATGATACATTGACTAAAGTGCATTAAACTATACCTTTTATCATCTCACTCTCCTCTTTGAGGAGCGAAGGCTTCACTGGACGGGAATAACGACAAACATTTGAGAATCTTTATAATGTTTCTGAAAACATGTCAAAACGACCAAATCTGGAAATCCAACAAATATTTTTCTGAGTCTCTGATTGTTATTTCACATAAAATCTAGCTTATATAATGCAAATAAACATTTTTCAATAAAATAATTAATCATACAACGTAATCACAATTCTAAAGGGGGATGCTTGCACAAGTATAATGAGGGACTGTGAGTTTAAGACACTTTTATTTAGAATTAGTTAAATGATTGTTAAGGGCAAGGAAACAATATCTTAAGTCTTATATACAGTTCATAGGAAAATGTAAATTTTATTTTATTGCCCATCATAAATATTTCATATCAGCTAATAGCCTGCAAATGCTGGCTAAAGAATTATCAAAGAATTATCCAAGTTATATAAAAATATAAAACATAAATAATGCACTAATAACAGTAATGACATATTAGGGATTTTTATGTATTTTTATGTTTGTACAAACTGTTACAAGCGCTGAACTAAAATCATATATTTATTTATGCATTTACTGCTGGAGTTAAATTAACTATGCTTCAAAATTAAACTTTAAATATCTGTACAGTGTGCTGTACAAAGGAAAACCAACAAAACGTGTTCGAGTGGCGACACCTTTCAGAATTACTGTGTAATTGCACCATTTAACAAAAGCAAAGAATATGAAAAGAACAATAGCCTACTAATACAGTTATTTCTAATGTTTAAAAAAAATCCAGATAATTTTTAACTTTAGATGTTTAATGGTCTATAAAGATGGTATTTTAACATCATTGATTTTCAAAATTCTAATTGGGTAACCGTAGCGACGTAATGTGAGTTAACCAATCAAATATTTTGTTTCTAATAAATTGACCAATCACGAAGAGGAACACTACAAGGTCATGTTAAAGTGCGAAAAAGCTGCGCGAGCTTTACATAGTAGATCTAGAGTAATGCAGGATCGGTTAAAGTGCTGTTTGAATGGTTGTGAAATCTACGATTAGCGCATGCGTCGTTGCCTTTTTCGCGTGTAAAGTGTATCCAAGATGTCAGCTACGTAGCGCACGCCTTGTGAGTCACACACCGGGGATGCTGAGCTTTATTATACTAAATTTGTTAAGAGTATGCTAATATTCTGTATTTTTAAGTTTAACATATTTAGAATAGCTTAATTAGCAAGTGTCTCAGCAATGTTTCGACAAACGAAGACGGCGCTCCAGAAGCTTCGATGTGTGCGGTAAGTAACTTATGTCGGTTAGCTAACTTAAACTAGCTGATGAGATATTACACCGCGTTTCATCTAATGAGAAGAATTGTTTATGTTCTGTTTATAGTGTGGTGCCTGCATGGTATTTACCTAAAACTGAGCTAAGATGCAGTTAGTGATTCTTTATGTCTGGTATGAGCAGGTTCTGAATTCAGTCCAAAATAAACTGATTCTAAGAGTGATCGGTTAAAAATGATGTAAAAGCTGGTAAAACCCATGACAAAGTCTCTGTCGTCAAGTTATCCTTTATCTTTTATAATTGTAGTTATGACATAAACATAATTTTAGTGTTAAAGAAGGTCTTTTGCCCTAAAATAACCGTTAAATATAAACTTGTAAAGTAGATTAACCTGCACCGGTGGTGTTAAAACAAATTTTGTGACCCATGTATTATGTGCCCTGAAAAAAAAAAGCTTATGCAGTTGTACAAATATGTTTACTGTGTCTTTATTAAAGACAATGAACACAAACAATGTTGCGTCCATTGATGGTTTAAATCCAGAAAACACAAAACAGAAGAATTAACAACAAAACAATAATACAAACAACATTTGGAATGAGACTAACAGGGTTATTAGCAAAATTACCTACAAACCAGGATCAAAAGCAACATATGAACAAATGTACGTTAGTTCAAATATATATTGACAATTATTTAAAGTCATTATTCAAAATGTAACTTTTTGACATATCTAACACTTGACTTGTTCCCTCTTATTATTTAATATTTTTAGATTCAGATTAAATTTTTATACAGTATACTTAGAAAAACATTTATCTACCATATTAATTAAAGGTTGGTTAATGTCATGAAAACTTTACCTTTATTTGTTAAAATAAAAAATTACATTTTGAATACCTGATTTGTTGTTTCGTTTACTTGCTGGAATATATGTGGGAATGTACAATGTGTTTTTTTTATTATTGTGGTGGTCACATGATTTTATTGTTTGTAGTGTATTTAATTGTGGAAGAAGCTTTATCCTTCCATCTAATTAAACATTTAATTCAGACTTTTAAGTCTGTGCACATTTCTTTTTATTCACTTATTTTTCCACTGATGTAGTTAATAATTATGTGTTGAAACAGACTTATCTTCTAGTCCTGAGGCTGAACTTTTCAGGGTGGTGTGAACCTTTAAAATCTATCTGAACATTCTCTAGCCAAGTTCTCAGAGTAACTTACTGGTTTTTTAACTGTTTTATTCAAGTTTTAATGGGCAGCAGCAGCAAACATGGAGGTTGAAGAGCATCTCAGCAAGAGAAAAGGCACTTCAGTACCAGCCAGAGCAGAAAATCCACGGCTTTACTGTCAGAGAGGTGGGAGCACTTTGTTTTAAATGATCAGGAGCAACATATTCAGACTCGTGTCATTCCAGAAGCATTAGCATCATGTGCTGCTAATAAAAAGTGTTCTGCCCCTCCCCAGGTTGTAGCAGTACCTGACTTGTGTCTCACAGCCGTGAAGTTGACCCATGATAAAACTGGAGCGCAGTATTTGCACGCAGCCAGGGATGACTCGGACAATCTCTTCAGGTTGCGACTCGATCCAAGTTACTTTCATGGAATCATAAACAGGTTGTTCAGATTCTCACTTTGACTTCCTGTGTTTCAGTGTCCAGTTCAGGACCACCCCCATGGACAGTACTGGGGTCCCCCACATCCTGGAGCACACGGTGCTGTGTGGGTCTGAGAAGTATCCTTGTAGGGACCCCTTCTTCAAGATGCTCAACCGCTCCCTGTCTACGTTCATGAACGCCTTCACAGGTAATGAAGTGTAATTAACAGCAAAGTGTGCTGAATGACCCAAAGCCCTGCTCAGTTTCATTCACATGAAAGTTTTTAATGTTAACCCAATATGTTAACTAGTATCATATAGTTATCTTGGCAGATTTTTAAAAGTAGGGATGCACAATATCAGATGTTTGGCCAATACCCGATATGCCAATATGTTAAAACTTATTTGGCCAATAACTGATACCAATAACAATATTTTTTCCCTAGACCTACTTACAGAGACTTCATAGCTTTCTCTGCTGTGGAGTTAAAATACTACATGATTCTGCACGGTCTTTGTCAGTTTGGCCTGCTACCAAATGCAGATTTCAAAAAGGGGACTGAAAATGATGTAACACTTCAACTTGGATTATGCTCAATGTCAAATTTATTCATGACATTTACTCTCTAACACAACAACACTCGGACAGTGCAAGTTTGTAAATTTTCACAAATCTAAACTCAACGTTCTGCACTCTTTTAGAGCGTTTAGAAACATTGTTTAGAATATTGCAAGAGTGTGGGAAGAGTTTAAAATGTCTTATTTTAAACTCTTCCCACACTCTTGCAATATTCTAAACAATGTTTCTAAACTCTAAATGCTCTTAAAGAGTGCACAACGTCATGATTTCAGCTCCCTGCTTCCTCTGCTCTTTGTCACCTGCAAGCGCTCTTGGCCACGCCCACTTCTCCATTCTGCACAGTGAACAGCTGATCAGCTGCAGCAGGAAGTTTATCTTGCTGTGGGCTGCACAAAGGTGCAGCAGATGCTAAATTATTTTAAATAATTTATTTAAAATAAAAAATCCATGTTGATCGTGCAGCTCATCCATCAATCAGCCAACTGTGTGTCATGTCCAATCTTATTTGGGGACAGCACCTATTATTCTACACCTCGGAAGTGTGTCTACATTTCTATCTCCGTTAATGTGGCCCGAACCACAATGTCTACCCCCACAAAAGTTATATTTTTTATATATATAAGTTATATATATTATTTAGAGTTTTCTCCTCAGCCAAGAAGAAAAAGTCTGATAGGAATTTTTTCGCCTCCAATCCCTACATGTGTCCAGTTTCACTACTTTTTGTCTGTCTAAACAGATCTCACTTGTAAATGAGTCTTCTAGGCTCAATGTGACTCATCTGTCTAAATAAAGGTTGAATGAAAATATCAAAACAACCGGCTCGGCCCCGTGATGCCTGCTATTACTTTTATTGGCATTTCGAGTTACCATGGCGATGAAATTTGCAAACTGAGACGCAATATTTCACCATCTCCAGGAACTAGTTGGTGACTGCCCACTTATTATTCTACACCTCAAAAGCGTATCTTTTTCAACTTTAATTAATGCGGCCCGAACCGCAATGTGGACCCCCACAAAAGTTGTATCGAAACGACCGGCCCGGCTCCAGGAAGTGTGCAATTACTTTTATTGGCATTCGCAGTTACCATGGCAACATATTTAGCTAATAAAGATGCCAAATTTCCCATAGGAAATGAATAGGAGGAAAACTCTTCACAGAAACTGAGTAATGTCTGGAGCCATTTTGGTTCAACATGCATGGAAGGCACCTATTATTATTATTATTATTATTATTATTAATAATAATAATAATTAGTAGTAATAGTAAATAACATTAATTATTAATGTTAATAACTATATATTTTAATATTACTTGTTGATAATATTTTAATAATTAATAAATTAACAGTATATTGAAATGATCAATATTGATAATTAATTATTAGTATTAATATTAATAATCATCGATATTAATATTTATTATTATTAATAATGCAATAATAAATAGGCAGTCCCCGTCAAAGTTTCTCCAGGAACTTTCTAGTTTGATGTCTATAACTGAACCTGTTCACAAGCACCAAGTGAAAAGTGTATAAGCAGAAGTGCATTAATAGATATACTTGATCGTTTCTTAAATAAAAAATTAACTTAAAACAGAAGTCCAGTACGTGCTTTTACAATCTTAATAATCAACTCAAATCTCTATCTGCTGCGTGCATCCCTATTTAAAAGTGTGGGATTTTACATACACTAGTGTATCACATGCTCAAAGTGCAAATTTTAGCACAAAGCCAGTGTCATGGCTTGTTTGTTTGTTTGTTTGTTTGTTTGTTTGTTTGTGAACAGCCAGTGACTTCACCATGTACCCGTTCTCCACCCAAAATGGAAAGGACTTCCAGAATCTGCTGTCCGTCTATTTGGATGCCGTTTTCTTTCCTTGTTTACGAGAGCAAGATTTCTGGTGAGTTTGCTTGTGCTGCCACAGTGGGCACATTTTGGATGTGGTAATTATCTGAAAGAAGAACATTGGTCCTGACAGCTTTCACAAGAAGAGCCGTTCAGTTTTAGAATGCTTTTATTTATTATAAATCAGGTCATCTTGACTTTCTTTTGCACGTAACCTGGTTAGAAATCAATCAGGCATGTTTACCCGTGACGTTTAAAATGTTTTGTTTGCATTCTACAGTCTGCTTGTTTGCAACTTGTCATGTTTTAATTATTAAAATTAAATTGTGAGCTTCACGCGTCATTTGACTGTTATTTTAAGGATTATTTAATTTGTGTGGATACTCAGTCTTTTGACCTGATACACTGTGCAGGCAGGAAGGCTGGAGGCTGGAGAATGAAAATCCCACAGATCCCAGCTCCTCGCTGGTGTTTAAAGGAGTGGTGTTCAACGAAATGAAAGGAGTCTTTGTAAGTCAACACTTTTCCAGGTCATGTTTGTAAACGAGAACTGGTTCACCTGGTAGAATAAAGCTCAAATAAACCAAATGCACAAAGTGTAAAAATGTGTCTAGTTTTGATCCGAACACTTGTCTCAGTTTAAAACAAATTATTTGGTAATCCAAATCAATTACATTCCGTTTCCTACATTTCAAACGTGTTTGTGTTTTTACAGTCGGACAATGAGCGTCTGTACGCCCAACACCTACAAAATAAACTGTACCCAGACCACACGTACGCTGTGGTGTCCGGAGGAGAACCGCTGGCCATCCCAGACCTGACCTGGGAGCAGCTCAAACAGTTCCACGCCACACATTACCATCCCAGCAACGCCAGGTAACAAAGCCCAGTCCTCTCCGTTTGAATTTAAAGAGTTTACTTACAGATCGACGCGTGGAGTCCAAGCTTGGGTCACATTCTGTTCAGATGAAAGTTTGTGTCTCTGTTTGAACGTTCAGGTTCTTTACTTATGGAGACTTGCCCCTGGAGAGTCATCTGCAGCAGATCCAAGAAGAAGCTCTGTGCAAGTTTGAACGCATCAACCCAAGCACAGCTGTCCCCCCTCAGCCTCACTGGGACAGTCCCGTAAGTTAGATGTAAAACATCTGCAGCACTCAAACTGCTCGTCAATAAAAAACATTTAACTGGACCATCAATCAGTGTTTGCAGACCGGATTCTGGTTGCAGAAGTGAAATGTTATCTAACGGCTCTGATGTCTCTGTGGATTATATTTTGTTTTTGTGCCGCAGAGAGAAGCGCACGTGACCTGCAGCCCTGACGCTCTGGCTCCAGATCAAAGCAAGCAGAACACCCTGTGTGTGAGCTACCTGCTGGGAGAGTAAGGTCATGTTCTCTACGCCCGGTCCTGTTTTACAGACGTTTGTTTTTCTAACGCTTTCTGAAGAGAACCCTCAGTTTTAAGCAGCTATATTAATATATATAATGCTTGCTTTCTTTTTAGCATCACTGATACATTTGAAGGATTCACTCTCAGCCTGCTGTCGTCCCTGATGGTCTCTGGACCAAACTCCCCCTTCTATAAAGCTCTCATCGAACCCAAAATAGGAAGTGACTTCTCCTCGGTGGTTGGGTTTGTATATGTTCTTTATGACAAATTTAATTGTAAAGGGTTTGTTTGCGTACTGTGCTGTGAAAGAATGCGTGTGTCAGTTAAAATATCCTGTGCAGATATGATGGGAGCACCAAAGAGGCGTCGTTTAGCATCGGACTGCAGGGGATGGCTGAGGAGGACACGGAGAGGGTCAAACACATCATCAGCCAAACCATCGAGGACGTTATAAAGTGAGCCCATTTCCTGTTCATCGCAACTCTTCCTTTCCTATCTTTATACGATGTTTATTTCTCTGCAGTGGTTTACATTTGTAACTAAATGAAGTGCGGCGCTTGTGTCGTCTGGCAGGAATGGCTTTGAGGAAGAGAGGATTGAGGCTCTCCTTCACAGGATAGAGATCCAGATGAAGCATCAGTCCACAAACTTTGGGCTGTCTCTGGCCTCGGTGAGCTCATCATTTATCCGCTGTTTATATCTACAGTAGTCCCTCGTTTATCGCTGGGGATCCGTACCCTGAAGCCCCACGATAATTGAAAAATGGCGAAGTAGTAGTCCAAGTTCAAGTTCAAATACATTAAACTTTATATTAAGGCTTTAGAAATGCTTCCCACACTTTTGGAATGTTCTCAACTCTTAAACCTATGTCATTTTAACAACATATTTTACTTACTAGCTCTGCAGAACAGCAGCAGCTCTGGTTCCGGTCAAACTCTGTTTTGTTCTAACTTGGTTCATCTCTGCAGACCTGTCCTGCATCAGTGAAGCTCACAATCAGTCCTCTAAACTCTTAAACCTACTCATTTTAACAACATACTGTACTTATATGTACAGGAGCTACTAAATTTTACTTACCAGGTGCTACAGTACAGAAGCAGCTCAGTTCCGGTCCGACTCGATAGATGAAAAAGTCCCAGTACAGCATGACTGAAGCACAACGCTCCATCCAGCTTGATGTGCTGGTGCTGCTGCCCAGGATTTAATCCACCACCTCTGGCCTGGTCTGGACCAGCACTGCACGACCAGAACCTGACTGAACCCTTCAGCCATCTGTCGTCTGCAGCTCCCAGGATCCGGTTCACACTGAGTCTGGATCAGCTGCAGCTACTCAGCAGTGAAGATACAACTTGAAGGACGAGTTCAGCTTCAGGATTATTTGTGGCTTTCCTGCCATTGAGCAACAGAACTTACAGAACTTCTGACTTTGCTGCAAAACTTCCCCTCCATTCACAGAAAGCAGTGGTTGAAAGAACAGTGTTGACTTCCGGGAAGTGAACTGATGGCTTCTGGGTAACGTAGTTCTTTAGACTGGCAAAACAGTGAAGGCTTAATGAAAGAAAACTACGCAATGGCAGCGCATTGTTATTATTATTATTTTTTAAATATTATGTACATGTACAGTACTTAAAAAAAAAAAAAACGCGATAGAGCCAGTCTGCGATAAATGAACCACGAAGTAGCAATGGACTACTGCAGTTATGAACGTCTATGTGGGCGGCTCATTGGCTACATGTTGTGAATGTACTCTTGAATTTGTTCGCCTCCGCCTGTTTTACTGTATATTTCTACACAAGAGTGAAAACGTGTTCTCAGTTGCTGTCCTTGAGATGATGTCACTATTTGTTTTCTTCATGTCGAATGTGCTTTTTGTAAATCTAAATGCCTCCCTCTTTGCCCCAAATCTAAAATAAGTAGAATTTGCTCAATTTAGAGCAACTTTCATTTACATTGCTGGTTTCTTTGGGTGTACTTGTTCGTCTCTTCATCCGTCACGACGTTGTGTTTGTTTGGAACAGCACGTCGCTTCATCGTGGAACCACAACGGCGACCCGGTGGAGCTGCTGAACATCAGTGATAGTGTTTCCAAGTTCAGACAGGCTCTGAAAGAAAACCCCTGCTTTCTTCAGGAAAAAGTCAAAAGCTTCTTTAAGGTAAAAACTATTAAAAGACGACCTCTTTTTGATAAATGTAAATATGTTTTTTCATTTGTTGGCAAAAATATTTATCTATTATTAGACATGAAATCACAACCAATATGTGAAATTTAATTCTGTTTTCATAAGAAATTAATATATTTAAAGTTAACACCTTGTGCATCCTTTGTAGAGGAAGGTATATTTAAGTTTTATGAGGTCATAGCAGATTTACATGATCTGATTTAATGTTTGAGTGTAATGCTTTGTGTGCCACCCATCAACCCCCTCCCTCCATCAACAGGATAACACACATCGACTGACCCTGAAGATGAGCCCGGACGAGGCCTATCTGAAAAAACAAGCCGAGGCCGAGGAGAAGAAGCTTCAGGAAAAGATTCAACTTCTAACGGATGCTGATAAAAAAGAGATTTATGAGAAAGGTAATAAAATATTGACTTTAAGCGACCTAAATGTTTTTAAAGGTTAATCATAAATCATGCTTTACACGCATTTATTTTATTTTTTTATTGCTCATTCAGTGTCTGCATATTTTCATTTTAATATGAAAGGATAAATAATTTAAATCAATATTGTACAGGCTTAGATGTGTTGTCAAATACTGAAGTTTTGTGCTCAATCACCACCCAAAAAGTAATAAAAGGTCCTTGGACTCTGTTGTGTGTTCTTCTTGAACAGGTCTGGAGCTGCTGGCTGCTCAAAGTCAAGTTCAGGATGCTTCTTCTCTGCCTGCGCTCCAAGTGTCTGACATCGAGCCCACCATACCCATCACCCCAGTTCAGATGGGCACTGCAGGTACTGCTGCACGCTTCTCTTTTTCTCGAGGTGTCTTGACAAACAATCTGTGTTTGATGGAGTGTTCTCCTAACCTCCACAGGTGGTGTGCCGGTTCAGTACTGCGAGCAGCCCACCAACGGGTTGGTGTACTTCAGAGCCATGTGCAATCTCAACACTCTGCCAGAGGACCTCCGAGTTTATGTCCCGCTCTTCTGCAGCGTTGTCACCAAGTGAGCTCACCTGACCAGTATGGGTGGTCATTTTACCATACCATACCATACCATACAGTACCATACTATACCATACAGTACCAAACCATATCATACAGTACTATACAGTACCATACCATTCTATACCATACCATGCAGTATTATACCATACCATACTATACCATACCATGCAGTACTATACCATACTGTACCATGCCATACTATACCATACCATGCAGTACTATACCATACTGTACCATTTAGTACCATAGCGTACAGTACCATTCCATACAGTACTATACCATACCGTATTATACCATGCAGTACTATACCATACTGTACCATACAGTAAAATAACATACCATACAGTACCATGCCATACCACTTTATTTATAAAGCATTTAAAAACAGCAACAAGGCCAACCAAAGTGCTGCAGTGCTGTATTTTAGGTAGAAACACTTTTCACATTTTAAGTATTTATTAGAAATGTCTTTCTTTGAATAAAATAAAATAAAAATACTAATCAGTCATAGGCTTCATGGAACAGAAGACAGTCCGGTTCAGTAGGCAGAGCGCGGCGCCCTCCTTGTATAATGCTAGGGGAAACACTGCTGAAGGAAGAAAGATGCTGAGGATGTTTTAATTTTTTTTTTTCTATCAGTTATTTTTCTTTGGGGAACTGGTTGATTGATGTGGTACTGAAAAAAGCACATGGTGTGTTAAAGCACTGTTTGAAGACAACGATGTGTAAAGTAAAAAATAAAAGGCTACTTATAGTTTTTGAAAATCACTGCTCAATCCTGACAATCTGAATCTGAATGGTAAAACCGGATTAGGGATTAATTGTTTGACTATATAAAATGATGATTAAAAATAAGAGGAAAATGTAGAAAAAAGCCCAACAAATATCCCTGATTTTTATTTCTACCACTTATCCAGGACCAGGTTGCAGACTGCTTCAGTTTGTGTGCGTTGAATTCATCTAGTCTACTTTCTTTGTCAACAAAGTGTTGGATGAGTGAACACTGTCCATTTTAAAGTCAAACTCTTCTCTTCATTGTTTCTGTGGCTCTTGCCTGGAGTGATTTTAGGAGCTTGATTTTGCAGTTCTTCAGACTCAGTAAATGCACGCAGTGGACTTAAATGGGCTTGTACACAAAGAATAAACCAAAATACTTCACATAAATTGTCTTTTGTCAGATTCCAGCTTTAACAAGAAAAGCCTCAGTCTTGTTCTAATAAAACGCTCTTGACTCAAGAAGATAAACCTGGTTATTTCAGACCAAGAGTTGAGTTGTTTTCTTTACATTTTGTGTCAAACATTTTGTCTGTAAAGCGCCTGAGGAGGAATGTGTTGATATGAGTACACTTTGGATTTTACAAAAGTGACTAAGAGTTGTTTTCTGTTTGGTTAGGATGGGCTGTGGAGCTCTGGACTACAGACAGCAGGCCCAGCAGATGGAGCTGAGGACAGGGGGGATGTCTGTTTCCAGTCAAGTCGTCCCGGACTCCACCCAGATAGACACGTTTGAGCAGGTCAGTGCCAGCACCGAACCTCCGAATCATCCCTGATCAGCTCTGTGCATCCTGCGTTTGAGCTTTTCTCCGGTCGTGATGACAACAGCTGATGCTGCAATAATGAACTGAAGCAATAATGTTCTTGTTATGTTGAAAGATGATTTATTTTCTGCTGCTTGCCTCTAATTCCTTCTTGTTTCTGTTCCCTGTCCCAGGGTGTCCTCTTGTTCTCCTCCTGCCTGGAAAGGAACCTTCCTCACATGTTTCAGCTGTGGAGCGACATCTTCAACAGGTGAATCTGATCATTCTCTTCTCCTGCAGCATCGTTTGATCCTTTCAGGTTTTACACACAGGTAAATGGCTTCTGGTGTTTTTGTCATATTTAGTCCCCATTTTGACGACGAGGAGCGACTCAGAGTGCTGGTGATGATGTCAGCTCAGGAGCTGGCCAATGGTATCTCCTACTCTGGTCACATGTACGCCGTGACCCGAGCGAGCCGTCACCTGACGCCAGCTGGAGGCCTTCAGGAGACTTTGGGTGGGATGGAACAGGTAGTTCTCTTAGTACACCACGCTGAAGTGATGCATTACAAATGTTTGGAGCATGAAAAGCACCATAAACTAAATAAACTGTATTTTGTGTGAAAGTTCAGTGTGGATGCTGAGTTCTGAATTACTTTACTGAAATTTGCAGAAGAAGCTCAAAGTAGAACAAAAACTTAAAGGAGCTAAAGTTGAGCTAAGTTTCAAGCTAAAAACTATAGAGCATGACAGATTTGGACATTTTGGCTGCGGTCGATACCGATATTGGGAGGGGCAAATGCTGATAACCGATATATTGGTTGAAAATGTTTGAGCTTTGTCCACCCCCATGAATCAAAGTAAACGGCTACTTTTAAACCTGTTTTAACACTTGAAGTCTTGAAACAGTCTTTTTAACGTGAATCCTCCACTAGTCACCATAAAGTTATTAAGTGTGTTACAAAAATATAAATTAAACAAAGAAACACCTTCCTGGTCAATGTTTACACAGTCAGTCACGTATGGTAAAGGTCTAATTAGTATTGACTGTAGCAGCAATTAAAAAATATATATATATCAGAGAAGTAAATGTTTCAGACAAACAATGCATTTCATTGAGGACAACAAAGATAATGTTACTAACACTGATATATTTTACCTCTACGTTGGATTTATTGTTCTGGATAAAGTTCTTCAAGGCAATAGCCTATGCTAGGTTATCTAAACGTTAGCTTGCTAACTTGAGAGGCACGTAGATAATGACAAGCAGGTTGGAGGATTGAAGAGAATTTATTATTATAGGTTTATTTTATTTTACAGATCAGTTAAAATAAACTTACCATGCTCTGTTCAGCAAAATACGCTACACAGTATTGCTCGCTGCTTCGGCTGCGCTGAAAGTGGAACTTAACCTCCGTCTTGTCGAAGCTCCAAAACTTCACGGTTGAAACCCGTGCCTTTGTGTAACAAGTTGTTTTTCTCTGCGATAAGAAGCTGAGAACTCGTTTACTGATTTTTTTTTAATTAACAGCTTTGTGTGACAAATGCTATGCTAAAGAGCTAATTATTAAGTAGTTGTTGTCAAATTTTAAACAATATTATCGTTTATCGCAATAATTTCTGAGACAATTAATCGTCCAGAAAAATGTATTATTGTGACAGGCCTAGTGTTTACATTGGAGTTTAATGATACAATTATCACCGATATCGATATGCCCCCAAACGCCTATATTGGCCTAAAATATCGGCCCTGCCGATATATCGGCCGGGCTCTACTAAAAACTAAAATTAGCAAAAGGCTATCTAAAAGCTGTAGATAGCACAAGTTATCTTGTGAATCCAGAATTCTGCTGTCATAGATAGTGTTTCAATAATTAGACACTGTCACCCATTTCCACTGTAGCTGAAACATCTTTTTTCTATTTATATCACTTAAATGTAGTGAAAGACCTGAAGGATCTGATGTATTTTAGGAGACCCTCTGCTTTCTGAACAGTTTTCCTGCTTCTTTAGTTTTTGTGTTGTGTTTGTTCTTTAGAGGTGATAAGGTGTGTTTTTATTTCAACATCAGGTGAAGTTTATGAAGAGGATGGCTGAGACGCCAGACCTCGTTCACGTCATCCGAACATTACCCAGGATCAAGAAGCACCTCCTCAACCCCGACAACATGAGGCGAGCTCAGTTTAAACCTGCTTTGTTTCCTCCAGCCCTGTGGACGTGTCTTTTTGTGAACTTTGTGGTTCTCTGAACCAAACCAATACCGTTGTCTGTTTTTAAAATATGTTTTTGTTGCTGCTGCGAAGGTCTTCGATTTGTTTCAGGCCGTGTCTTTATCTGTGCAGGTGTGCGATCAATGCAACTCCTCAGAAAATGTCCGACTCGGCAGCAGAGCTGGAGACTTTTATGAAGGACGTAGCTGAAAACAAAAAAGAACGCAAACCCGTAAGGACAAGCATCATTAAGGTACGTTTGTACAAGCAAATTAGAACGTTTCCTCGGTTAGAAAAAGGAAAACATTCGGCTGATTTTTATGTTTTTCCTGTTTTACAGAAACCACTTGACCCTCTGGAAGTTTCTGGGCCGAGTAGGAGTCTCATAACTGTAAGTTTAATGTTTGTGAGTGTTTTAAAATGTTCCCACATTGATTTAACTAAACAAACGGCTGTGATGGATGTGCAGTAAACGGCTTCTTAATCTTCAAACAGCCAAGCTAGCAGACACTTCCTGTGGTTGTTGAAATGCTGCTAATTGCTCCAGGAGCATTAAATTGTTAGAACAAGACAAGTCTGAAGAAATAAACATCAGATTTAAGGAGCTGTCCGAGAAAAACCCGTTAATGATTGAAGATAAACTGGAAAAGATGAATCACAAACCATGTTTAACATTAAAAAGAAGAACATTTCCACAAACACAGGACTATAACAAACTGTGGTGTAACCTTAGACTAAACATTTATTGGTGAGGTAAAGATAAAAATACAAAAAGGTTGGACTCTGGGTCCAGATTTGTCCAGTTCCTGGCTGATGGGTGCACACAGGAAGAGCTCATACATTCCCATCATGCCTTTGGGGAAAATGATGATCATGATCTATAGTAGCTGTAGTTGATCATGTCTAACCTCTGCAGCGTTTTACTGTGTAAATGTAGTAAATGACCAGGACTTTCAATCATTAAAGTGATTAAAGCCATAAAGTGACTAGATTTTTCTATCCTAGTGACACAGCCATAGTCTAAGATGACAACATTTTAATTATTTTAGTTGTTTAATTTATTCAGGGAACGTGTAACAAATTGACCTCCACGGAGTCCAGACTTGTTGAAAATTATTAGGATCTGTTTGAAAAGAATTTGCACAGCGTCTCAACTAAACTTTGATCTTCAGTACAAAATGTACCATCACTCTACTGAGGGGAGTAAAAGTTGTGAAGGTGCAAAGGATCTTCAGCCCAAAGCTGGCAGGACGGATGTGTGCTGGAAACAAAGCATCAAATGATTAAAGTTTTTTTGTTTCTTCAGGAGCCAGATTTCCAGCCGTGTCAGATGAAGACGTTCTTCCAGATGCCTTTCCCAGTGAACTTCGTCAGCGAGTGTATTCGTACGGTGCCGTTCTGCCACCAGGATTTTGCCAGGTACTAAAATTATTTATGTTTGTTCAGGAAAACCCAGTTAAAAGAGAGGAACTTGTTTCTTTAACTCATCGCCTCCAATAACTGTAGTTTGTACATTTTGTCCCACTCTAGTTTTACTGTCAATCTTTTTTTGGATTAAAAAAATAAATAAATAAACCATTGTGTTAGTTCTTGTGCTGGGGACAAATGTTTATTTTAAATATACATTTTTGTACCTGTTGCGTCCACATCTCAGTCTGGTTGTCTCTTTTTTTGTCTCCGTCAGTTTGTGCATTTTAGCGAGGATGATGACGGCAAAGTTTCTACATGGGGAAATCCGGGAGAAGGGCGGAGCCTATGGAGGCGGAGCCAAAATGGGAGGCAGCGGCGTGTTTTCTTTTTATTCCTACAGGTAGGCAGCAGTTTACTGTAAAGGTCACTTTTAAACATCTCTGTAATAAACAACGGTTTATAGAAACTCTCCTGATTTTAGCAGATATTGAGACTAAAACCAGATGGGAAAGATGTAAATCCTCAGGATTAGATGGTGACTATATGCTGAAATGAAGCTCTACAATTTATAGATGGTCTTTATTTTGAGACAATTGACTTTATTTATTTCCATCAAATTAGAAATAAAGATAAAATTAGTGTTTTAAGTAGAGCCCGATCAATATGGAAATTTTGGCTATCGCCAATACTGATACTGGGAGGGGCTAATGCCGATAACCAATATATTGACTGAAAATTTTTGAGCTTTGTCGATCCCCATGAATCAAAGTAAACAGCTACTTTTAAACCTGTTTTAACGCTTGAAGTCTTGAAACAGTTTTCCTAACGTGCGTTCACATTTTCTATCCTCCACTATTCGCCATAAAGTTATCAAGTGTGTTACAAAAATATAAATTCAACAAAGAAACGTCCTTCCCTGTTCATTGTTTAAACAGTCAGTCACGTACGGTAAAGGCCTAATTATTATTGACCGCAGCACGGTTTATTTTTTCTTTGTAGAGAAGTAAAGACTTCAGACAAACAATGCATTTTATTGAGGACGACAAAGATAACGTTACTAACACCAATATATTTTACCTCTACGTTTATTGTTCTGGATCAAGTTTTACAAGGCACTAGCCTATGCTAGGTTATCTAAACATTAGCTTGCTAACTTGAGAGGCACGTAGCTGTTTTTTAATCGGGTTGGAGGATTGAAGAGAATTTATTATTGATTTGTTTTACAGATCAGTTAAAATAAACTTACCATGCTCTGTTCAGTAAAATGTGCTACACAGTATTGTTCGCTGCTTCGGCTGTGCTGAAAGTGAAACTTAAGTGAACGGCCATGACTTGAAAGTAGCGCCTTCTTCTGGATACATTGTACAATTATGTCTTTTCCAAATAAGGACATGGCTCGTTCCCACCGTTTATATTGATGTATAATTGGACCATTATCACAGATACCAATATGCCCCCAAACACCTGTATCGACCCTCCCGATGCATCGGTCAGGCTGTAGTTTTAAGCTTCAATAAATAGGTTTGTATGATATAGGGGTGAATTTTATTTGTTTTAAACCAACAAACAACCAAAGGTGAAAACGTCTCTTCATGCTCCTCATGTGCTGCAGCATGTCAGCCTTGGGTTTAGCTATCCGTCAGTAAGGATCTGTCTGATTGGCTGATTATATTATTGGTATGCAGAGTGTGGCAACGTGGCTCTCGAGAAAACATTTGTTCATTCTTTATTGAAGTCCTCTGTAATATTGATCATGGTATTATGGTAATGCATTCTTAATGCTGGACTCAGCAGTTTGAAATTTTTATGAAGGACTTAATTTTAAAACAACTCATGTCAGTAAATGATGCCAAGGTCAGATTTCTAAAATTAGATTCTTTTACCATATTGTGCAGTCCAAATAGCAACTTATCTGTTTTCAACTAGTGTTTGGTGTGTGTTGACCTCAATTTATCTTTTTTTTTTCTAAGGGATCCAAACTCAGTGCAGACACTATCTGCATTTCATAAAGGTGTGGAATGGGCCAAATCAGGACAGTTCTCTCAACAAGACGTGGATGAAGCCAAGCTGTCGGTCTTCTCTGCTGTGGACTCACCTGTGGCCCCCTCAGACAAAGGTTGGACTGCTCTGTGTAAATATGGATTGTATAAAACAAATCAGTGCCATAAATCACCCAAGCATGTTTCATAAGGGTTGAAATGCTTGAATACCCTTTTATATTTTCAGAATGATATTATGTTACTAATTTAGTTGATCTTTTGTCTTTGTTTAGATTTATTTCTCCCACTTTGTTCTTGTTTGACATGTGATCCGTACTGATGCTCTGTGCTTTGTAAATATTTCATCACTGATGATGCACGGTGATGTTGTGTGTCTGCTTGGCATTACCATACCATACCATTTTATTTATAGAGCACTTAAAACAGCGACAAGGCCAACCAAAGTGCTGTACAGACAGAACAACAGGTAACACACGTATACAACGTAGCATATATAAAATGAAGTCAATCAGAATATAGACATAACAATGATGCAGATAATAAATATGACGACTAACCAGTGTGGAGCGTACAGGTTCAAAACACAGATCATCTGGTGTTGAAAGCTACTGAATAGTAGTGAGTTTTTAAATGGGACTTGAAAACTGAGAGGGAGGGGGCCTGTCTGACCAGCAGAGGTAACTCGTTCCAAAGTCTTGGTCCTGCTACAGAGAAGGCCCTGTCACCTCTGCGCTTAAGACAAGTTCCTGGAACTGTGAGGAGCAACTGGTCTGCTGTTCTCAGGGAACGTGGTGGGACATACGGCTGTAGCAGATCAGATCAGAGAGATTGGGGCATGTTGTGTTTCTGGAAAATAGCACCAATTGGCAGCAGGTATAAAGAGAATAGGAGGGGACCCAGGATGGACCCCTGCGGAACCCCCCATTTAAGCTCTGCCGTTGCAGAACTAAAATCCTTGATGAAGACACAAAAAGATCTGTCGAGGGATCCAAACGTTGTTTGGATGTGCAGCGTTAAACCTCACTTGTCTCTCTCTGCTGCAGGAATGGGTCGTTTCCTCAGCGGCATCACAGACGAGATGAAACAGAGTCACAGAGAGAAGCTTTTCGCCGTTGATCAGAAAAGTTTGGTGGATGTGGCTGAAAGGTACGTTTGACATGCTTGATCGACTGCTGCTGCAGATAAAAGGTAAAAACCAGGTGTTTGTTGTTCGTCCTGCAGGTACCTCAGTGCCGGTCAGAGGACGTGTGGCGTTGCCATCCTGGGCCCAGAGAATGATACGATCAAAAAAGATCCTTCGTGGATCTTAAAATAATATTTAGTAGGTATTTTATGACTGAACACTTCTCTTAAATGGACTTTATACTAAAAACCAAACACATGTTGGTTTTTTTTTTTTTTTTGCTGGAAAGAGCAGCTGAAACGCACAACATGGAGACCAGAAACGTTGTCTGATCACTGTTAGTCGTGGAATATTCCAATAAAAACCTGTGTATTCCATTCTGTACATATTCATAAAATGACCTCATAGAATATGAAAATAAAAACTCAAATCTGAATTAGTTTTGTGTTTTTATTATAGTCAGATGGCTTTGGCTGTTTTTTTTCTCGATGCGTTTGTGTCAAAAGGCCCAAAGTGTCTCTTATAATAGATGAAATAACGCCACATCTTTTGTGTCCAAACCTCTTAATCTGATGACTGGATTAACCGTAGCTCCATTCTCAGACACGTTACTCGCACAAGTCTGGTCCAATTTATTCTGGTCAAACATGATTTCCAGCAACATTTCTTGCATAACAAGTTAAGAATTGTTGTAAAACGTTTGGTCTAGGGAATCACGATGTTGGATTTTTGGCCAATATGTTTAAACGTATTTGGCCGATAACTGATACCAATATTTTATAGAGTTTCCTTTGTCAGAACATCGTCCTCTTATTTAGGCTTATTTGCTACAAAAATTGTGAAACAGCTGTCAGAGCTGGTGACATATAGTCAGTAACAGCCATATGATATGCATAGCACTTTAACTTATCCATCCATCCATTATCTTTTACCCGTTTCTTCCATTTTGGGTCACGGGGCACTTTAGCTTATATTAAATGAAAAGCGTTAAATGTTATTTATTAGCATTAGTCACCTGCGATGCTGTCTCACTTGTGGAGGCTTGTTCCAGGTTCCTATAGCTGCAGTGTGGGCTCCTCTGCACTCCTGTGCATGAAGGATAGTTCAAAGGTTTTGTCTATCCATTGTGCCGTAAGAATAATCATGCTAACGGGCTAACACGACGTCCAAATGTCCGTGGTAAAACTCACCCAAGTGCTATCGGCTATTAGCTTCTCAATGACGTTGGAAATGACGGCTTGTAACTCGGGCAAGGCTACTTCGGAAAAATATCTGACTGGGGACGATGTGGTGAGGCTCAACGTTTTCCAAAAATCTTCGGAATCCGACATCCTCAACGGAAAAAAAACTTCCACACCGCCGACATTTTGACTTCTTCCCCTCCGTCGTGATCAGATCAGGTAGGTGTGCACGACGTCATCACGTTGTGCCGGCGCTGCAGGCACCCTTATCACTAGGTTGTCAAACAAAACCAGCTTCTTTTATATCCTTGAGTTATTTTGATGGAATGGCTGATGTCCGATATTTAACGTTAATGCTAATATCGGCCGATACCTAGTCGCTAATATCGTGCACCTCTAGTTTGGTCTTGACTCATTTCTGCCTCCCGCAGACTTAATTTTGCAAAATGTCAACTTCTCTCCAGTACTTTTTAAATCTTAAAGGCTTTGTTTTGTAACTGTAAGGGTTCAGCTGCATGCCATCTGTCCTGTAACGTGTAAAACAGATGTCTTTAAGTGCTGTAAGACAGATAACCATGAAGAAGCTGTGATAGCAGCTGCGTTTGTTCATCCACGCTTCCTGCTGGAGCTCCTCGGTCCCACACGGCGAGCCCTCCGTCAGTCCGAACACCTGAAACTTGTTTTTCTCTAAACACAATCAGCTGTAATACAGGGGACACATACCCATGAAACAATTTACTGGTATACTGTTGTGAAAAGTTGTGAATGTTATGAAATTTAATATTAATGTGAAATATTGGATTGGAATACTGGGTTTATTTCTTTAATCGTTTTTTTTTTAAATTGTGACAACTCATGCTAAGAGTTTATTCACCCAAATTATACTCTGACACCCAGTGCATGATGTTCTGCCTCATTCTTAACTCAAGGTGGAATTTAAAGAACATTTTGTGTTATTGAATCAACAGCAATAACGACTCGGCGCAGGTTATTGCCTTTATATTTCTGAGTTCCTCCCAGATTTGTCTCGAAAACAGACTTTACTGAATGGAGGTGCAGATTTTCCAAAATGGTGAGTGAATGATGAGCGCTGAAAAACTGCTCAAAGCCATTAAAGAAGCTGAAACTGTTGAAGCTTAAAGAAGCAAAACACGAGCTAAAGACTAAAAGTAACAATACGCTGAATTGGCGTTTAATTCACTTCAATTCAAAAATACTTTATTAATCCCAAATTAATTGGAAATTGTTGTTGTAGCTCATCTTGGTTTCATTAGTTGTTCTAGATGCTGATGGCTTTGGGCAGGAAGGATCTCTTGTTGTGGTCCATCCCACAGCAGATCTGAAGAAACTGGCTGCAGATGCCGATCCGTCCACCCTGACCCAGCAGACCTCTCGGTCCTCTTTGGCAGCAGGATTGCCTGAATGCCGGGCAGAACTCCTCCCCGAGTGATGGCCAGCCTGACGAGCCCCTCGTCACTGCGGACTTAACTGCAGGTGCTGAGGGACGATCTCGGTCCTCTCGCTGTCACAAGCCATGTTTCCCACCACTTCCAAGATCTCAGCGGTCAGGCATTCGAGCACCGCCTCCAAGTAGACGGCAATGCATCCACAGCACCTCCTTTTCAACTCATTTGGGATTTGGGGCTGTAGTTGAGATATTTGAGCTTTTGAGATGTTAATCAGCTGCTCCCAGTTGCAGAAAACCACCTTGCTGTTATGGTTACGCATCATAACAAATGTCCAAAAGCTAAAAAAAAGGCACAGCATCTGATACCAGAGGAAGTAAGCATCCAAAAAAAGTGATTTGCATCCAGAAAAATTAGTAATTACTGTTTTTAAAAGCAAAATTTCAGCATGTAAGAGAGCTGCTCCAACATGAAGCCACCTGGAGTGGTGTAATAACACAAGATGCTGTTTCACACAATAACTGCTTTATTTACTCGGACAGGACGCTCTTAGAAAGCAACAGGAACAATGTGCAGTTCTACACGTTCTTCACAGAAACCTGCACATAAACAACAACAACAACAACAATAATAAGGTGCCACATTGAAAGCCCAGGATGGATGCGAGCAGCAAAGGCAACAACACGACTCACACACACGTACAGTTAGCGGTTGACTGTACACACGACCGGCTCCTGAAGCCCGAGTCCACGTTCTGCTTCGGGTTTCAGGACTTTGCGGTCGAGGTGTGGACATTCTTGAGTCTGCATGATCCTCCAGATGCAGATAAGCTCTTTATGACTGACGCTCAAGGTGAAAATACAAGAATAAAAGCTAGGCTTTAAACGCATCACCCTCGGCGTGGTGTCTTCAAATTGAGCTACATCTCTGGGACTAAAACCTAAATAAAGTACATCATGAGTAGTGCATATATTAAATTTCTATATGGGGAGCTGAAGTCCGTGATAAACGTTAGCATGTTTAAAATAAATATAGAGCTCTCTCCAACCATCTATCATATAATCTGATCTAAAATAGACTATATCTCCCTCCGAAAAGCACCGTGACCGTACAATATATTCTGTTTAAATTATATTCTGTGATTAAAACTCTTTCGTAACACTTTGCAGTCAATCAGCAGCCGATCAGTCATCGTCGTGTTAGCGGCTGTCACTGAAATGTGAAGCTGGTTTCCTGTCTGAGCGTCGCCGGCGGATCAGATCGAGGCCGAGAAGTCGCTCTCTTTGGGTCGGACCTGGGTCACGTGCTCCAGCTGGCCCGAGTCGGACATGTCGTAGCTGGTCTTGTACTTGGCCAGGATTTTCATGACGGGACGGAGCTTGAGCCACCACTGCTCCGTCGGAATCCTGTGGCTGGAAGGAGGAAGTTTAAAGTTTAATGTAGCTGTTATATTTATATTTATTATATCAAGTAAATCAAACTGAATGACTTCTATTGACAACACAATAAAACATCAAGTGGTTAAAAAGTTATTAATACTCTGAGTAGTTTTTAAGAAGAGTACTTTGTACTTTTACTTAAGTATTTTTTTTATAACACCAGTACTTTTGCCTGTAATTGAGTACAATTTAAGCAGTGGAACAGTACTTGTACTTGAGTACACATTTTCAGTACTCTTCCACCTCTGGTGGGCAGACTGGTTCCAAAAATACCAACCAGAGAAAGTATTTGATCTGGTACTGTGCATCAGTGGCACGTGCACATGCTTTTGTCGTTCGCTAATAATTATTCTAAATACAATAAAGGATCAATACAAAAAATTGTCGCTCAGTTCTTTTTAGCTACTTTATCGGTGAAGTTGAGTTAGTTTGACAAATATAAAAACAAAGACTGGAGGTGAAAGTCCAACAACAACTGAGTCAAGTTTTTTTACACAGATTCACTCAATAAACTGAAACTTGATTAATAAAAGTTCTTATCCAGGTTTATCCACCGTCTGTGAGGTGTTGTCATGTACATCTTAATAAATGAGAATATCATAAATTATTATTGTTTTTGTTCCTTAACATGTAGAGGCTGAAAGGTTCTAGATGTGGAGACGACGTGTAGAGCAGCATGAAGAGGAAATTAACTTACGATTAAAAACATTTAGTTTCATGCCAAACGATGCGGGTTGAATTAACAAGAACAACGGATTTTTCTTTCTCTCTGAGCGACGGAGCCGTTAATAAATCCTGCAAAGATTAGTGACCGAGCTCTTCGGACATTTAAAAGTCTCTTACACAAAGTCTGTCTCCTGCTGAAGCTGGGCCACAGGCTGGAAGACCATCGCTCTCCGGCGCATCCCCAGCAGACAGGCGCTGTCCTCGGAGTTAGCAAACACTCTCCCTTTGTTGAAGAGAAACACTGATTTTAGAATCGAGATACCAAAAAACAAACAAGTTTCTTTATTAAATTAAAACCAAACTCGAGCACCTCCTTTGTAGGTCTCTTTGAGCATCCGTGTGATCCACTGAATGGCTTTAGCTGCAACTTTGGTGCCAAAGTTTCTGTCGAAAGGAGACGGAGAGCCGCCCTGTGCGTAAAGAAATATTCAGTGTGTCAACATCAAAATCTATAAGAATCTGGCTTTTTTATTTTAAGCTTGTGAATATTATTAAGTTGACAAAATTTGAGTCAAGTGATTAAATTGGGCGACACAGTGGCTCAGTTGGTAGAGCTGCAGCCTCAACGAGCAGGTCGCTGGATCGAATCCCGGTTGATTCTAGAACTAGGATCTCTTTGGATCCCCCGGTGTAAAACATGAACAAAACTTTTTAAATGTCACTTCTGCAATAAACAAACAGCAGTTTAATTAACCATGTATACTATAAAAAAAATTATTATTAAAAAACATTTAAGCTTTATCCTTTAATTTCTATGATTAGCTCAAATCTAAAAGTTTTCCCCTCTGGTTTACATTAAATAATACACATTAAATAATACTAGTTAAATAATACACATT